GGAAACCCAATGGGGGTCATTATGAGTCAGAATCAGCTTGATGGCAGTGAATTTGGTTTTTTATTTATTTATTTTTGGGGGAGAATATGCAGAAATTAAAAAAGAAAGACAAATACTTAAGCACAATTTTTAAAAAAGGCATAGAGAGATCTATGACATCATATCCTTTGGTGAAGAGTGTCACTTGAGCTAAGCCTGTAAGAATAATGGAAATGGACAGATGGAGATGGAATTAGGGAAGGAAGAACAAGAGGGATTGTAAATACATGCTATGAACTCTGGAAACATCAAGGTCCTCATTTGGTTGTAGTGTAAGAAACATGAAGTTGTGATAGAGATAAGAAAGTAGGTACAGGTAAGGATCTTGAAGACCATAGTGAAAAGACTGTACTTAATTTGGTAGGGAAAGAGCTGACAGGAGCCCTGGTGGCCAATGGTCAGTGCTTGGCTGCTAACCAAAAGAATAGCAGTTTGAACCCACCTGGTGATCTTCTGTAAAGAATGCAGCCTAGGAAACCCTATGGGGCAATTCTGCTCTGTCATATAGAGCTGGTATGAGTCAGAAGCGACTCGGTGGCACACAACAGGGAAATGGCAGAAAACTTTATCTCATGATCACAATTATTGATAAATTCATACATCTTTAAAAACATTGTTTCTGCCACAGAAGATTTATCTTAGAAAATAAACCGTGACAAAACTAACTGAATAGAATACACATTTTCTAAATATCTACATAAGAGTATCTGATTCCTGCAGAGAAAAAAAGAAAACTGCACTGAAGAAATTATGAAATTATCTTCCACTACCAAGTGGTTCTTAAGCAGAGTCTTTTTCTAAATATTAAAGATTAAGAGTCTATTTCTAAGATTCAACTAACAAAAGTGTAAATTGTATTGATTATAACAATTCTACACCTCTGTGCAGACATTAATGAACTAAAAATCTTATCTCGGATTTAAATTTTCTGGATCACACTATGTCTCAATCCACACTTACTGAACCTCGGGCTTCAACTGGTATCTATTCACTAAAGAAGACTCTTTCATCTTGTATTTTTAAAAATGTTATATGCAGTCAAAAGTCATACATTGACTAATAAGAATAATTAACTGGAAATTCCCCCAAAATTTGATCCATGTATATTTTATAGGGAATAGTCACATGAATCAGCCTTCTTTTACAATCCTTTGCTCTAGGTACATACACAAAGAGCTAGAAACTTGATATTATTGACAGTATGTATCCAGAGAAACACTCTCATAAAAAAAGGTTACAAGTTAGATATTTCAAACTAAGAGTTTTAACTCCAATGAAAATAGAACATAACAGAAAAATTATCAAGCCAGAGAAGAAATAACTAAAAAAAGTATAAATTATCAGCTAAAGACATAAACTCTATATACACAGACTACTGTCATACTAAAACCAAACTCATTGCCATGGAGTTAATTCCAACTCATAGCGACCCCAGAACTGCGGATGGGGTTTCCAAGGCTTCTCCGAACAGACTGTTACTATTTCTTCCACAGAGTAGCTGGTGTGTTCAAGGTTCAAACAGCTGGCCCTCTGGTTAGCAGCTGAGCACTTAACAACAGAACCACTAAGGCACCTTTTGATAATAACATTGTTGTTGTTGTTATATGCCCTCGAGTTGGACCCAAGTCATAGCGACCCCTCTTTGGGTTTCCGAGGCAGTATCACTACAGAAGTAGATTGCCCCATCTTCCTTCCAAGGAGTGGCTGGTGGGTTTGAACCACCAGCCTTCTGGTTAGCAGTCAAGTGCCTTAGGCACTACGCTACCAGAGTTGAGTTTAAAAAGTGAAAATTGAGTTTTAAATTATTTTTGCTCTCTATATAATCACAGTGGATTTCTTCTTGACTTAAGCCACGTTTAACCAGGCCAAAATTTAACTACATATTTTAGGCCTTTTTTATCATTTAAATTTTAGAATTCTTCAAGACATTAATTCATCTTTATCCTTAGAAATCTTACTGAGTTGTTTTACAATCATCTAAGGTTACAAGGGTTATAAGAGTTACAGATCAACCCAGAGATGATTTGTGATTTATAAAATTAGAATTATCTAGACTAATTTTTCTCTAAACATTGGCATTGAGACATGCTATTTAGTCTGAGCAAATATTTTTCAGATAGGCACAGAATCCATTCAATCCCCAAAATAGCTTCATTATGTGAGAATGAGTTTTTAAACACAAAGGGGATATTTTAAAGCTATATTTTTAGGACTTCTACAATAATTTTATTGATATCCAATTATGATGCAAAACAAGGTATTTGTTTTTTCCCATTGGATTTATTGCATCATAATAATGTGTTCAGAGCTCTGGTAGCACAGTGGATAAGGCACTTGGTTTCTCACCAGAAGGTCAGAAGTTCAAACCCACCAGTTGCTCCACGGGAGGAAGATGAGGCACTCTGCTTCTATAAAGATTTACAGCCTTGGAAACCCAATATTGGCTGCTGTGACTCGGAAATTACTCACTGGCAGTGGGTTTTTATTCACTTATAAGAGATAATGCTAAATGCTATATAAATGTTGAATGAGTGAATATTTAGTTTCTTTCAAAAAACTAACAATATAATGAACTCTAATTACTGTAAATTGTCACTCATTTATAAAAATCAAGTTGAAATATCAAAAAATATTCCACGTAAGAAAAACAAAATATTGTGGATCACTAATCTGAGAGATTTAGGGAAGAATGGGAAAAAGAAATTAGCAGTTTCTCTGCCCTCTGGTGGCAATGAAATTAACTGCAGCATTTTCTGATGATAAAATGTTCCAGTTATGAAATCAGATTTTTCTTTACCAAAATGTCTGTAATAAATTTTCAATGCTATTCAATAGGTTAGCCATTTAATTTCCAGATGTCTTTTTTTCAATAAAACTATATGTAGACTTAGGTCCAGGGAAGATGGTGCTTTGGTTTGTAACAAAGCCTCCAAAAATTTGCCAAGACTTTAAAACTTTCTCTTTGATTCAATGGTATACATAGTTTTCTCTAGCAGTTTTCCACTAGAAATACTGGATTTATTTAAAATACCAGTACATTTGTGCTGAATAATTTAGGTATCTGTATTTGTAATTATCTGGCCAATATTAGAATGGAAAGAATACCATCCTCAATCTGGGAATTTAGAATAGCAGATTTATTTTATAGACACACACACACGTATACATGTATACATTATATATGTTTACTCATTTCTCAGTAATAAAAAAAGAAAAATAATAAATATTTGCTGACCTTTTTTTTTTTTTTTTAATAAACTGTAAATGCATTTTTTCTTGCTAGAGCCAAAGAAGTTTTCAAATAAACAAATCAGGATGAATTTTGGCACACACACCTCTTTAACCTCCTTTGTGATGAACTAAATTGCTTCCCTTAGCATTTATTTATCCCATGAATATGACTACGTAAGTTACTATTGCACCTTTTTAATAAATGTGTTGTATTCCAAATTGGTAAAATTATTTTTTTAGCCAATGAAATGTATCAGATGAATGAATCATGTATATATACTCTATTGGCATAAATAATACCTAATCAAGAACAGTTATGAGTGACAAAGACAAACCAACAAGGAATGTGCATCTTATTCACAGCTTTAACAGCGTTGCCCTCTCTTCCCCCTCTCCACAAACGCACCTCAGAATCATGAATATGGGAGTGCAGAGCCAGCATCTGTGCTTTCTCTGTTAATAATTTAAACCAGGGACAGACACAGTGTGTTGGCTGTGTTCTATGTCTCAGCTTGGTAAAATTTCATTCAAAGACTTCCTTCACGATTTTCCTGATCTGGAATTCTCAGGTGCCTTCCCTAGCCTTCCAGCAGCGACAGTCAGGTTTGACGATTGGGGAACCATGCACAATTTCATTTACCATTATCCCAACCAGAAAATTATCATTTCCTTTCTCCAACTGTTTTTTTGGTGGTTGTTATTTTGTTTTGGGATTTTAGTTGTTTTCCTCTCACTTCACCACCTCTTGAAGTCTACTTGAGTTCACAAATTTCTGTCAAGATCTCTCTCTGCTTGTTTCTTCTAGTGAGACGCAGAAATGAGCAAGTGCCGGGTTCTCAAAGGGAAGAGTCCGGAGGCAGCTGGACCTCCGCGCTCTGCAGCGCCTCGCCAGGCTGATTGTAGGCGGCGGTCCGCCCAGCGCTACCCTTCTAACTCTGCGCTTGCCCTGGGGGCGCGGCTCCCCACAGCAGGCGCACCTAGCAGAAGCAACAGCCAGAGCTGGAAGCGCTGCCACTGGATGAGGGGTGGGGGTCACAAAGACCAAGACTCAGCGCAAGGGCAATCTCAGGGCACTTGGAGGAATCCCCAGCTCGTTTAGGCCTGCCTGAGAAACTGGCAGGCGGAGGACAAAAGAGCGAGGGGTTGGTCTCCCGAGACGCGTCCACCCCCATCTCTCCCTCCTCCTACCCTACTCTACGCTCAGCTGCACCTACCCAGCCCCACTTTTAGGGCTCGCTCACTCCCAGACTGCAAGGGAGCTAAGGTGAGGGTGGTCTGAGGGAGGAAGGAGCGACTGCAAGCAATTTTCTGTTAAGGGGCCCCTGCTATCCCCGGCTGCCACTACTGCACCCGCCCACCGCCCCCACCATGCACGCATCCGCCTAGTTTATCCCAGCAGCTAGGAATGGAGGAGGAGCCGGCACAGGGATGGCAGCTCCAAAGCGAGGTACCAAGGAGATTTGCTTTTACACCTCTGTGCCACTTGTGTGTGTGTGGGGGGGGGCGTTGTATCACCCCCTAACGTTCAGGTGAGGCAAGTCCAAAAAATTCCCATTCCCCACCATACTTCTCTGGTCAAACCAGTTCTCCCCAACTGGGGAGCCCAAGTTTACCCAAAAGCAACTGCAATAACTTCCCCAAGGGCAGATGAGGTGGGAGTGGGAAGCGAAAGAGGACGCCACAGAGGTCTTCAGCCGCGCACGAAATTAACAAGCAAAAGTGCATCTTACCATTGATTTGGTCTCGGGTCTCCCCTTTGGCGAACTGAAACCGGTCCGTTAAAAAGTGGCAAAGTAACACAACTCCTGCAGCGGCCAGGTCGGCCCTAGGTAACCTCGCCATGCTTCCACCGAGACCTCCCTTCCCTAACGCGGCAGTCTTTTCCGGGCGCCCGGTGCTCTCAGGCTCCTGGTGGGAAAGGAGAGACGGGGCTGATAGCTGCCAACCAGTCTCGGCGGGACTGGGAGGCCTTTGTAATTTCACTGGGATCTCACACCCAGAGGCAGGGAAGAGGAAGAAGGGAGTAGGATGGGGAGCGCAGTCCTCTTTGGACCTCCGGGTTTCTCTTCTCAACTTGCCAGTCTTGCAGCCTTCACCTCAGGCACAGAACAACTGAGTGAAGAAAAGCCCACTTGCAGCCCCAGCTCCCAAATTCTCGGTTCTACACAGGCAGCGCCACCCCCAGTGGCCGCAGAAGGTGACTTCCAAGCCCCTACGACGCGCTCCACTGGGTTCAAAACAGATACAATTCCACAGCAAGCGCCGATGCCGCCTCCAAATCTTGGGGACTGACGGCTCTGAAGGAACTTTCCCCCAGTCTTGGGATGGCCCCGCCGGAGGTTTGGGTTTGCGGGAAGGGGGTTACAGTGAGCTGGTGAAACCCCTCCGACAAGTTTTTCTTCTTTTCTTCGCCCGACGCTGGGCGCGCGTTCTTTTCCCAATCAGAGAAATTGGCAGCCCCAAAGAGCTGAGCCCTCGGAAGGCTCGGACTGCAGCAGTCTGAGGTCCGAAGCCAGGAAAAATGTGTTTTTTAAAAAAGAATAAAGGGAAAGAAGAAGGGAAAAAGTCACGCTGAAACCTATCGGTAGAGGATCCTCCTAGCTCAGGAGGAGGTCGTCCCAAACCCCCGCCGAACCTCAGGAGTTTGGTGGTGGAGGAGGGCCTGCCGCCGCCGCCGGCGCGCCCCCCCGCGCTCCCGACTCCACACTTTAGGGAGTGAAGGCAGCTCGCTATTTGCCAGATCTGCTGTTGCACACTCCTCCCTCCTCTTTCTGCCCTCCCCCTTGCTCCACCAAGCTTCTCCCACCTTCTTCCCCGAAACCAGCAGCCAGAGCCGACCTGTCCAATGGCTGCACTTTTCTCGGAGCTGGCGGAGGAATCGCCGAAAGATTAAGCCCGGGAAGAAAGGCAAGCGGGAGTGAGAGGGCAACTCCAGCCTGAAGCCAGCAGTCCTGAGCGCTAGGAGTGGAGGCGAAGAAGCAGGGCAAGAAGGGGAGAGCGGGGGCGCCATCCCTGTACTCCGGCTTGGGGCCCTCGCGGCCACGGCAGCAGTGCCTGCACCCACCTAGCCCAGGGGTTGTCTTCACGCTCGACTACTGGGGATGGCTGGGTGCCTGCCCGCGCGGGGTCTTCCTGGGACCTAGCGGGTTAATTACAGTTCGCCATTCCCAGGAGGATTTGTGTGGCAGTAATTGGAGTGTGAAGAAAGCAAACCAGAGATAGTCTGCTTACAAACCCTGCGAAGCCCCATGCGGACCCCAGATCCGCGAGGCGGGTGGTGTATGGTAGCTCCCTGCAGCGTGGTCCCGCTGCCGCCACCGCGGCTGCTGCCGCTGCGGCGGCTTAGCAGTGTATGAAGGAAAAAAAGAGAGTTTAAAGGAACAGGAGCCCCATTGAATTCCTACGGGGAGTTTAGTGAGTGCTTGCTCCCTAATTTGTTTTTGTTTTTCTAAGCTTGCAGGGCGGCTTCAGAGTTAACCCTTTGCAACCATTCGTTAATTTGCATCTTATTTGCATACAGTTAACCCAATTTTAAAGGGATAAACACAAAGAAAAGAAGTAAAGCACTTTGGTTAAAAGTACAGATTCTAGTGCCAAACTACCTGGACTAGAATTCCATCTCCTTCACTTAATAGCTATATGACTTGGAGCAATTTACTTAATCACCTAGTGCTTCAATTTGTTGTTGTTGTTGTTATGTGCCGAGTCGCCCCGACTCATAGCGACCCCTCCTTGGGTTTTTGAGGCAGTATCACTACGGAAGTAGGATTGCCCAACCTTCCTTCCGAGGAGTGGCTGGTGGGTTTGAACCGCCAGCCTTCTGGTTAGCAGGCAAGTGACTTAGCCACTATGCTACCAGAGCTCCTAGTGCTTCAATACCATCCATTAAATGGGAATAATTATAGTGATAGGAAGCTCTGGTAGGATAGTGCCTAAGGCAGTTGACTGCTAACCAGGAGGCTGGTGGTTCAAATCCACCAGCCACTCCTTGGAAGGAAGGCTGGGCAATCTACTTCTTGTTGTTGTTGTTGTTGTTATGTGCCGTCGAGTCAGCCCTGACTCATAGCGACCCCTCCTTGGGTTTCCGAGGCAGTATCACTACGGAAGTAGGATTGCCCAACCTTCCTTCCGAGGAGTGGCTGGCAATCTACTTATGTAGTGATAATTCCTCAGAAACCCAAGGAGGGATCACTGTGAGTCAGGTCCCATTCGATGGCACATAACAACAACAACAATTATAGTGATGCACTTAAAAGATTTTGCAGTGGATTAGATGAGTTAATACTATCTACATAAAGAATTCAGAACAGTACCTAACACTAAGAAAAAAAGGCTTTGCAAGTATAACTTGAGAGTGAGTGAGCAAGCCATAAACCAAAAGGCAAATTTGTCTCAGTGTAATAGGTTCAGAAGATCATGTTGGCTTTTGGTCCATTCCATTCCATGTACCAAAGAGTTAAATGGATTCCCTCAACAACCACTTCAATTTGTCACAAAAAAAAAAAAAAGAAGCCTATTGGAAATGGATCCAAATAATCAAACTGCTCTGTAGATGTGGTGACAAAAGAATGGCTCTCTCATGGTTACTCAGCTAGTGAGGAAAGGCAAATAGGTACTATGACATGTTCTCCCTGGTTCAGTACTCAATTTGCTGTTTATTTCATTAAAAAAAAAATACACAAACATGTGCATACACATTCTATTATGAAAACCTTACTTTCTTTTTAGCCTTTCAACTGGCTGATCTCTTCCTCCTCAAGTAAAACCTGTATTTTTTATTTCTGTTCAAGCAGAAGTGTTTAAGCATTGCTTCCGATTTACTGCTCATCTGATTTTGAGTATAGAAATACTTAACTGTTTAACATTAAGTTTAAAAACTAAGTCATATAAACAAAACTTGACTGTAGTTTAATTAATGATGGTGTTTTGTCTACCTCCCTAGTGAGGTGACTACTTCATGAGTCCCTGTGGAAAGTTTTCGAATACATTTTCTGGTAACTCTAGTTCTCATTGTAAACAAAATAATAGAGAACCCAGCAGAAGCAGGCAGTAAAGAAAATACCTCTTCTCTTATGTGCCATGGTGTCAATTTTCTGCTCATAATGACACCATGTGGTGGAGTAGAACTGCCCCATAGTGTTTCCTGCTCTGTCCAATAGGTTCTCTGTGAGTCAGAATCAACTTGATTCCACACAACATCAACAACAATTTTTATAGAAGCAGATCACCAGGTCTTTCTTCCACGGAGCTACTAGGTGGATTCCAACCACCAACATTTCAGTTACCACCCAAGCTCTTAATCATTGTGCCACTAGATCTCCTTCCACTTCCTTCTTTCAGCTTGAGGTATTTCCCTCCCTGCTTCCAGCTGAAAAGTAGATTGTTTCTTCCTCTGAGAAGAAACAGGCCCCTGCCTTTCCCTAGTATCATTTTATTTCCTTTTCTTTATTATTTTATGTGCAATTTAACAATGTTTTTTCTTGTTATTTTTTGACAACAATGCTCTGTCCTCCTGGTTGAAGTTATATACCTTTTAGAAGTAGAAATTTGATGGCCAAAATTGACAAGGAGCTGAATGGTAACTCATAGTAAGTCTGGAGAGCTTTTATGTGTTTTTCCAATCATGGTGCTGCTAGTTAATTGTATTGTTTTATTCTGACCTTAATTTTATTCTGAAGTGATACCCATATAGAAAATACTTAAGTATGGGAGAAGATGAAGGTAAACAAAAATCAATCACGCATGATAGTTCAGTGCCCAGGACAACGTAAGAAAAGGCATCTCCCCTGTAAAATAAACTTAGGCTTTAATAGTTTGCCTTAAATGTCAACTAATAATTAGCTATTTAAAAAATTATTTTGTCTTTACATTATAGCAAGCAATAATTAAATAAAAATATATGTAGGACAATATGTTCAGAGTGAAATGGAAAGAGTTGATTATGTTTAATTAGCCAGAAATTAAATGGCTAATTAAACATAATGTAATTTGTGGTTTAAATTATTTACGTTTTCCATATACATTTGCAGGAGCTCTGGTAGCATATGCCTAAGGCATTTGACTGCTAACCAGAAGGCTGGAGGTTCAAACCCACCAGCCACTCCTCGGAAGGAAGATGGGGCAATCTACTCCGTAGTGATACTGCCTCAGAAACCCAAGGAGGGGTCGCTATGAGTCGGGTCCGACTCGAGGGCACATAACAACAACAATAAATATACATTTGCCATCCTATTTCAGTTTCTTAGTATCAAATTAAGATGTCTTTGTGCAAAGAATGCACCTATCTTACATGAGAGAGGAGTTGTAATGAGTGATGGTTAGTTTCCATTTACTATAAACCAACCAGTTGCCCTAAAGTCTGCTCCAACTCATGGTGACCCTGTGTATTTCATGGTAGAATTTCCCTACATAGTTTTCATTGGATGGTTTTTCAGAAGTAGACCTCCAGGCCTTCATTCCAATGTGCCTCTGGACAGACTGGGACAATAAATGGGTGAGTTAGCCGCCAAGCACCTGTAAACCATTTGCACCACCTTGTTGTTGTTAGGTACTGTCAAGTTGGCTCCAAGTCATAGCAAACCTTTTTACAACAGAATGAAACACTGCCAGTCCTACTCCAGTCTCACAATCCTTTCTATTCTTGAGCCCATTGCTGCAACCACTGTGTCAATCCATCTTGTTGAGGGTCTTCCCTGTTTTTCCTGACCTTCTACTTTACCAAGCATGGTATCCTTCTCCAGGAAGGGTCCCTTCTGACAACATGACCAAAGTAGGTGAATTCTGGTCATTCATGATTTCAAGAAGCATTCTGGCTGCACTTCTTCCAGGAGAGATTTATTTGTTCTTCTGACAGTTCATGGCATTTTCAGTATTCTTTACCAACATCACAACTCAAAAGCTTCAATTCTTCTTTAGTCTGCCTTGTTCATTGTCCAGCTTTCCCATGCATATGAGGTGATTGAAAATACTGTGGATTGAGTTAGGCACACCTTAGTCCCCACAGTGACATCTTTGCTCTTTAACACTTTAAAGAGGTCTTTTGCAGCAGATTTGGCAGTGCAATATGATGTCTGATTTCTTGACTGCTGCTCCCATGGGTGTTGATTGTGGATCCCAGTAAAATGAAATCTTTGACAACTTAAATCTTTTCTCCATTAATCATGATGTTGCTTATTGGTCCAGTTGTGAGGACTTTTGGTTTCCTTATGTTGATGTATAATCCATACAGTAGACTTAGTCTTTGATCTTCATCAGTAAGTGCTTCAAGTCCTCTTCACTTTCCACAAGCAAGGTTGTGTCATCTGTATATCTCAGGTTGCTAATGAGTCTTGCTCCAATCCTGATGCCACGTTGTTCTTCATATGTAGGGCAATTCTGCCTAGGGATTCTTGTTGCTATTAAGTCGATTCCAGCTCATAGCAACCGTATAGTATAAAGTGGATCTGCCCCATAGGGTTTCCAAGGCTGTAATCTTTACAGGAGAATACT